GGAATGCAGTGTTCAGAGAGTTGGAAGTGATTGAATGTTTTGTCTGTACCTTCTAAGCATTTAAATAGTTTTTATGCTATTAGTATAAATTAATTACACCAGTAATAATAACTTATTATTTAGTACAGTATATTATTTGTAAAGCTAGATAAATATTAGGGGGAAATTAATGAGGTTTCATAATTAACAGAGATAAATTCTAGCAATATAGAAAACAAGTTACTTTTGTTCGCTCCCTGTTCTCCTTCATATTCTAGTCCTGCAGAAGAAGTGCACTTAGTTTCTATTTCAAGAAACCTTTCTTTTTTTCACAAAGTTTGCAAAATTCAGGTGCCGTCTTTTCCTGCATGATTGTACCCCAATCTTAGTCTGGTAATTTCAGGGGTTTTTTTTGGTGGGGTTTTTTGGTGGTGAGGTTTTGTGTGTTTAGTTTGGTTTTTGTGGTGTGGTGGGTGTTCTTTTGGGGGTGTGTGGGGTGGTTGTGGGTTTTTGGTTTTTTTTTGTCTCCCCAGAGGTCTTTATAAAAAAGTGTATGTTTGATCATAATTACAGAGTACTTTTCACTGCCTTATATTTGCCATTGTGTGTATATTTATATCATGAATATATGTATGCACATCAATCTTGTGTGGCATTAGATTTTGTTTAGTTTACACCTTAAACCAATGTTATACTTTCAAGCTTTGTGCCTTCCTTAAACTACAGAGATAGGTAATCTGTCATGTTAGATTGTCTGAAGTACGTTGTGAAATGTGTAAGGGGGTGGAACAACTCCTGAAGAAATTGTTTGATACAATGCTAACGCTGTCTTTTTGTGGATGGAGTATAGGATTTCCTGAAGAAGTTTTCGTCGGATCAATTCAGGATGTTTTGTTTGCGCAGCAGATACAGCTCAGGTAAGGGAAAAAAAAAAAACAAACCCAAACCCCTCACTTGCTGAGCTGCGCATGGGTTTCCGTGCCCGCTTCCCAGGCGGGCGACGCAGTGATGTGATGGCGGAGCAGGCTCTCCCTGCCGTACCTCGCACCTCCCCTCGGTCGGTGGAAGGGTTGGCAGCACTCTGTGGGGCTGATCTGCTCTCATTTGGAAACGCATCTTTACTGAGGACAGTACTTAACCATCCATCTAAATACTTTCCTGAGATGCAGTTAATTGCGACTCTCAGTTAATTGCAGTTCCAATTAATGAATTGCCTCCATCTCTGATTTGCATCAGTTGCAGTCGCTTGTATTTCAGTCACGATCAGCTGGTTTTGGAGATGTATCTAGGTAGAGCTTTGCCTTTTATTCCCATAGGGTCTGACAAGGGCTTGCTAATAACTTTTTACCTCCCTGCTGTGTTACCATTTTTCGTCCTGCGGAGTCACTGCGTGTTCAGGCAGCTGTGTAAGCGAGCTGCGCTGCGCCACAGCAGCGCTGGATAACCTAATGATCACCTTAGCCGGGAGAACGCCGCTGGTGGGGGGAGGTGTGGGTGACTTTGTCAGCTTCCGTCTCTACACCATAGTGTTTCCAGCAGGCAGATGCTGCTTTGCACTGGAAGAGGTTTTCATGTGGATAGTGTTTTTAACAGTTTATCGGGGCCTGCCAAAAGCAGATGATAGTTCCCTAACCACTGCTAGGTCAGCTGGCTTGTTGGCCATCCTGGCATGGTAAAGGAATGGGGGAGCACAGGGAAACACCTGCGGTGTTATTTCAGCAGGCCTCTAGCTGCCTCAAATAAAGCACCTCTGGCAGTATGACCAGGAGAGCTGGTGCGGTTGAGGCTCTGTGGTTTTGCCAGTGTCCATTGGCATGCGGTGCGCTGCCAGCCTTTATAGGCATGCAGTCACTGCAGTGAGAAGTCTTTCTGATGGTTAATGCCTCTAGCTGCTTGCAGCAGCCACCCGTCTTCACTGTCCTAAGGCAGTGAAGGCATTGGGAATGCCGTGTATTCCTGAAGTATTTCAAAGCCTGGGATAGTAGAGATGGCAGTTTATTAACTGCTGACCTCCACCATGGTAGGAAGGGAGGAGCAGATCCTGATGGGAGGTTTCATAGAATCATAGACTGGTTTGGGTTGGAAGGGACCTTAAAGACCATCTAGTTCCAACCCCCCTGCCATGGGCAGGGACACCTTCCACTAGACCAAGTTGGCC